AGCTGCTGCTGTAGATTTCCTCACTCCAAGTTAACCCAACTGATGCTTCTCTGCGGTCAGAGTGGGTCTCCTTTGGGTGTGTTTGCACTTGAGGGTGGGCCAGGGGAGGAAAAGCCATTTGCAAAGTTCCGTGAAAGTGCCCTTGCCCATTCAGCAGATGATGCAAAAGTGTTTAGGATAGTCAAGACAGAAGCAGACTGTGAGGGACTTCAAGAAGATCTCACCAAACTGAGTGATTGGGCAACAAAATGGCAAATGAAATTTAATGTGGATAAGTGTAAAGTAATGCACATGGGGAAGAATAACCCCAACTATACGTACAGTATGATGGGGGCTAATTTGGCTACTACAAATCAGGAAAGATCTTGGAGTTAGCGTGGACAGTTCTCTGAAAACTTCCACACAGTGTGCAGCGGCGGTCAAAAAGGCAAATAGATGCTAGGAATTATTAGGAAAGGGATAGAAAATAAGACCCAGAATATCTCGCTGTCCCTGTATAAAACTATGGTACGCCCACATCTTGAATACTGTGTACAGATGTGGTCTCCTCACCTCAAAAAAGATATTTTGGCTTGGAAAGGGTTCAGAAAAAGGCAACTAAAATGATTAGGGGTTTGGAACGGGTCCCATATAAGGAGAGGTTAAAGCGACTGGGACTTTTCAGTTTAGAAAAGAGGAGACTGAGGGGGTGATATGATAGAGGTATATAAAATCATGAGTGGTGTGGAGAGGGCCGATAAAGAAAAGTTATTTATTAGTTCCCTAAATAGAAGAACTACAGGACACCAAATGAAATTAATGGGTAGCAGGTTTAAAACTAATAAAAGAAAGTTCTTCTTCACACAGCGTGTAGTCAACCTGTGGAACTCCTTGCCAGAGGAGGCTGTGAAGGCTAGGACTATAATAGAGGTTAAAGAGAAGCTAGATAATTTCATGGAGGGTAGGTCCATAAAAGGCTATTAGCCAGGGGATAAAATGTTATCCTTGGCCTCTGTCTGTCAGAGGCTGGAGAGGGATGGAAGGAGACAAATCGCTTGAGCATTGTCTTCAGTCCACCCTCTCTGGGGCACCTGGTGCTGGCCGCTGTCGGTAGACAGGATACTGGGCTAGATGGACCCTTGGTCTGACCCAGTACGGCCGTTCTTATGTTCTTATTCGCAAGTTTTGCAGCCGCTGCTGAACGTCGCATCCCTGCAGCGCTATACAGTCAGTCCCACCAGTCTTATGCCTGTGTCTCAGCACCAGGATCAGCATTCCACTGTGTTCAGCGGATCAATTGGCAGCTGCATTTCCATTTTGCTGAATGCAAAGGTTTGCTGAATACAGTGCGCTGGTGGGACCCCCAAGACCGTGGCATTTCAGTGGAGAGTCCTGCTTGTCCTCTTCTTGGCATGCTATGTTTGCAGTCTTGAAATATTGCGCTATTTGGTACCAAAGTAGACAACATCACAATGGTTTGATGCAGAGCAGGACCCACAATGGGGGCCATACTTCTACTGTTATGGTGTCTGTGCAGGCAACCAGGTCCCAAAAGGGCGCAAAAAGGCTGTTTCTGTTGATCTCAAGCAAGGGGGGATGGAGTAGACAAGTGTATTATGGGATGCTGACAAGAAGTCGTAACTACCCACTGTATAGCTTTGGCCCCAATGTGCACTGGGAGTATAACCCAGAAAACAAAGCAACACCGACACTGTGAGAGCTACCCACAGTGTATCACTCTGTCATTGACAGTCTCCTTAATGGGGGGACACTACTTCAAACTGTTGAATTTTTGCACATAGTGGCGACTCAGACCTTCAAGTGCACTAAATTAGGTTCCCAGACATTGGCTGTAATAGTCAACCATATCTCATAGTGTTCATGTGGCCTGAGTCACTTAAGTGACAACATAACTTACTGTGCTTGTTGCAGATAGGTGTGTGGAAGTGAACTCTTGGAGTACTTTTGAGAAATTTAGGAAAAATCTACATCTCGAGATCAGGATGATGATAAAGGGACCTAATTCCTCTTGTGGACAGCACTTGCTTGATTGGAGAACTCCTCTGTTGATATTGGTCACCTTCCTAAATAGGTAGTTAACTTGTATTTAGCTGGTAGAATCTGCAGCATTCCAGCCATTAAGCCTCAAATTAGCTTCATGCTGTGAAAAAAAGTCAAACCTCACTTGAGTTTAAATCAGATGCCTCTTGCCAATAGTAGGTGGGGTGTCTTGTGTGTTTATTGGGATGGACTCAAACTGCTTCATTACTGGGTTGTACAGCCAAACAGCATTTATTTTACTGACCTTCCTCAGGGAATGTAGTTGATATTTGGGTATACTTGCAAGCAGGGCTCGAAAATAATGCAGTCTACTTGCCTGTGGTGAGTAGATTGCAACCTGGAAGAGCTGGGTTGGGGCGATCTGCGCCTGTGCAGATTGCCAGACACTAAACTGATACTAAACTGCGCTAGGTAGTTAAGACCAAAGCAGACTGTGAAGAACTTCACTTAGTTTGATGAGATCTTTGTGATTGGGTAACAGCATGGCAAATTACATCTATCCATGTTAAATTGGGGTTATACTTAGAGAAAATAACCCCAAATATACATATAATATGATGGGGTCTAATTTAGCTACAGCTAATCAGGAAAGAGGTCTTGGAGTCATTGTGGATTGTTCTCTGAAGATGTCCACTCAGTGTGCAGCGGCAGTCAAAAAAGCAAACAGGATGTTAGGAATCATTAAAAAAGGGATAGAGAATAAGATGGAGACTATCTTATTGCCCTTATTGCCATGGTATGCCCACATCTGGAATACAGCATACAGATGTGGTCTTCTCACCTCAAAAAAGATATACTGGCATTAGAAAAGAGAAGGGCAACTAAAATGATGAGGGGTTTGGAATGGGTCCCATGTGAGGCGAGATTAGAGACTGGGACTCTTCATCTTGGAAAAGAGGAGACTAAGGGGGGGTATGATAGAGGTCTATAAAATCATGAGTGGTGAGGAGAAAATGAGTGAGGAAAAGTTATTTCCTTGTTCCTATAATATAAGAACTAGGGGCCACCAAATGGACAGCAGGTTTAAAACAAATAAAAGGAAGTTTTTCACACAGCGCTTTGTCAATCTGTGGAACTCCTTGCCTGAGGAGGTTGTGAAGGCTAGGACTGTAACAGGGTTTAAAAGAGAACTAGATAAATTCATGGAGGTTAAATCCATAAATGGCTATTAGCCAGTAGGGGTAAGGAATGGTGTCCCTAGCTTCTGTTTGTCAGAGGATGGAGATGGATGGCAGGAGAGAGATAGCTTGATCATTACCTGTTTGTTTGATTCACTCCCTCTGGGACACCTGACATTGGCCACTGTTGGCAGAGAGGGTACTGAGCTGGATGGACCTTTGGTCTGACCCAGTATGGCCATTATTATGTTCTAACTATTGTAAAATAGTACAAGAGCCAAGTGCTTCTGAATTTTTTCACTTAAGGATGAAAGGTTGCTGTTCAAAGGCTGCTTGTGATTAGGGATATAAATGGTTAACCTTGTTGTGTTGGCTTTCTCCCGGAGAAGCTTTGCTATGCACTCTGCAGTATCACTTAACCCTGGGAGCCTGACCAGCAGGGGCTGCTGATAACTGTGTAACTGCTAGTACATTTAGTAGTTACACGGTTACATTTTTAAATTACTTTTTACATCCCTACTTTTGTCTAGGATATTGTGACTGATAGCTATAAATGCCTACTTTAATGTATAAAAGAGCTTGTGATGTTTCATCTATAGCAGAAGATGAAAAGTCTGCTAATAGTCACAATCTTTTATTCTGTCTAGTTTATATTTTTCAAATTGTTCCTGTAGATTAGTGACTTAGGGTGCTGATGGTCACAATTGCTAAACATTGGATTTGCATCAAGTGCAGCTATAATGTTGGTTGACCATGTGTTTGAGAAGTCTGATATTAAATATTCTAGAAGAATGTGTTCCTTTAGGTGAGGCTCCTGTGACTTTTCATCCTAAACCTGCTGCTTTTCAAGTATTGCATGCAACAGAACTTAGAGTTAAAGCTACATGTTTACTTGGAAAATCCCTGCAAGCATGTTACCTTGATCATAAGTAGTTCTACTTAAATTCTCTTAAGAAATTGGCTAAGTTAGTGTATTTTATACTCTAATGGTAGATCCAATCAAAACAGATATGGAAAACTATTTCCATAAAAACTTTAATTTTGACTGTTACCACTTCTAATACTACACTTTAATCTATAGCTAACTGTGTCATACTAGCTCTATTTTTTTAACTCATTCAGTTAGCGGAGTTACTGACAGAGGTGGCCTCTCATTTCGTAAAAATGGATTGAATTCCATTTAGGGTTTCCAGCTATAAGTGAAATTTACCCTAGTAAATGTTCAAGAGCTTTTTCTAAGATTTGCTATGATGCACTTCAGACTTTAATTAATGCTGGATTTAGGATATGTCTAGACTACATCCCTTTTCAAAAAAGGGACGTAAATTAGATATGTTGATACTGCAAATGAAGCTGGGATTTGAGTTTCTTGCGCTTTGTTTGCATAATGGCTGCCGTCACTTTTCCCCGAAATGGGTCTTTAAAAAAAAACTGGCAATTTAGACGCGGAGAGTTCAAAAATAAAACCTTTTTTCAAAAGATCTTGTACTTCTCAAAAAATGAGGTTTACAGGATCTTTCGAAAAAGGGTTTTATTTTCAAAAGATCTGCGTCTAAATTGCCAGAGGCTTTTCCAAAAATGCCCTGTTTAAAAAAAAAAAAAAAAAACAGCGGCTGCCATTATGCAAATGAAGCGTGGGGAAATTCAAATCCTGGCTTCATTTGCAATATCAGCGTACCTAATTTACATCCCTTTCTCAAGGGACACACCTTAAGTCTTTTAGAATGAATACCGAGTCTAATCCAAATCAAGAAACCATAAATGCTAACAAGTGATCACAAGCAGTACATTTTTAACTATGATTATTAAAACTAACCAATGACTGGTGTCTTGTCTTGTCAGAGTTCAAAGAAGCCTTTTCATTATTTGACAAGGATGGTGATGGTACTATAACAACAAAGGAATTGGGAACCGTGATGCGATCACTTGGTCAAAACCCCACGGAAGCTGAGCTACAGGATATGATCAATGAAGTAGATGCTGATGGTAAGCTTTCTAAGAAGCAGTTAATTGAAAATAAACTTATTAAATGTATTACTAATAACAAAATTATCTTGCAGGCAATGGGACGATTGATTTTCCAGAATTTCTGACAATGATGGCAAGAAAGATGAAAGATACAGACAGTGAAGAAGAAATTAGAGAGGCATTCCGTGTGTTCGATAAGGTACTGAGGGGTTGTATAAGGTTTGCAAGTTAGCTAAGGGATTAAATAAAATTGCTTCCAAATAACACCTGCTGCTAACTTTCCAAATTCTAGAGATCCTGTACAGCAATTAGATTATATATAAGTACAGTTTCTGCTCTTGGACTTGGATGATCCCCCTTCATATAACAAATGGAAGGCCTGGAAATACGTTCGGTTCTAGTCCATGGGAAATTGCTCCAACTACTTGGAGTGATTGTTTTTGGTGGGAAGTTATAAAATTCAGTGTACACATGGTCTGGAGATCTTTCAGGAGTTTCACAGAAGACAAAATTCAGACCATACTTCAGTAAGGTACTTGAGTGCCTATCTAAATGGTTACTAGTTCAAAGCTGGAAAATAAATTCCATAAATTCACAGGCATTTGGATGCTATACATTTTGGCTGTATCTCATGGATTTTTTTATTATAGTCCAGTGTCTGAAAAGATGCTTAAATTCAAATAGTGGCATCAAACTTAAGATTGTACAATATCAAAGCGTGGTTGAGAATGGCAAGAATTTACTGCATTTACATCGTTTATAGAATAAAAATAAAAACAGATCACTTAGGTGTTCTTGAATACAGGCAGTCCCCGACTTACGCAGATCCGACTTATGTCGGATCCGGAGTTACGAACGGGGCTCGCCCCGGAGGACACGGACTGCGGGACCTCGCGGTCCTGCCGCCCGTGTACTCCGGGGCTTTCTCCGCGTCTCCCTGGTCTGCAGACCAGGGAGACTGGGAGCAAAGCCGCGGAGGGGCTCGGGCAGCCCAGGTGTGCCTGGGCTGCCCCGCTGCCCGAGCCTCTCCGCGGCTTTACTCCGCGTCTTCCTGGTCTGCAGACCAGGGAGACTGGGAGCAAAGCCGCGGAGGGGCTCGGGCAGCCCAGGTGTGCCTGGGCTGCCCCGCTGCCCGAGCCTCTCCGCGGCTTTACTCCGCGTCTTCCTGGTCTGCAGACCAGGGAGACTGGGAGCAAAGCCGCGGAGGGGCTCGGGCAGCCCAGGTGTGCCTGGGCTGCCCCGCTGCCCGAGCCTCTCCGCGGCTTTACTCCGCGTCTTCCTGGTCTGCAGACCAGGGAGACTGGGAGCAAAGCCGCGGAGGGGCTCGGGCAGCCCAGGTGTGCCTGGGCTGCCCCGCTGCCCGAGCCTCTCCGCGGCTTTACTCCGCGTCTTCCTGGTCTGCAGACCAGGGAGACTGGGAGCAAAGCCGCGGAGGGGCTCGGGCAGCCCAGGTGTGCCTGGGCTGCCCCGCTGCCCGAGCCTCTCCGCGGCTTTACTCCGCGTCTTCCTGGTCTGCAGACCAGGGAGACTGGGAGCAAAGCCGCGGAGGGGCTCGGGCAGCCCAGGTGTGCCTGGGCTGCCCCGCTGCCCGAGCCTCTCCGCGGCTTTACTCCGCGTCTTCCTGGTCTGCAGACCAGGGAGACGCGGAGAAAGCCCCGGAGTACACGGGCGGCAGGACCGCGAGGTCCCGCAGTCCGTGTCCTCCGGGGCGAGCCCCGTTCGTAACTCCGGATCCGACATAAGTCGGATCTGCGTAAGTCGGGGACTGCCTGTATTATAACTGGTAAGATATACATATTAATTAATAAATATTAAGTAAATGTAGGGCTAGTAACTTGTGAATTGCTGAGAACCACAGAAAACAAATCTGACACTGGGCACTGGTCCTCTAGAAATGATGTGAGGGGGAGATCAATTTAGTAAGTAATTCTTTAGCTTCCTCTAGAGAAGCTCCTAAATCTTGTCCAGGAGTAGTGTATGTAGAATAAATTCAGAGGTTATTTAGTTTATACTGAATTCTCTTCAAAGGTTTTCAACTTTCTTTAGGATGGAAATGGTTATATTAGTGCTGCGGAACTTCGCCATGTGATGACAAATCTTGGAGAGAAGCTAACAGATGAAGAAGTTGATGAAATGATTAGGGAAGCAGACATTGATGGTGATGGTCAAGTAAACTATGAAGGTAAGCTTTAATAAGAACAATTGATGTTTTCTGGTCTGAGAAGCTACCCTGTGGATAAGGATGACCTGAAATGTTCAGTTGAAGTCAAGTTGTGTTCGCTACAGCAGTTACAAGAGCTGGTTTGAAGACATCTCTCATAATGTAGGAATTCTATGGAGAAGAATATTTGTGTATATTTGCAGTTTAAATCACTCCAGTCCCTCTAATAGCTATACAGGCAGTCCCCGGGTTACGTCAGTCCGACTTAAGTCGGACCCCTAATTACGAACGGGGGGGCGCAGTTAGTGCGGGGTGCCTCCCCCACTGTTGCCGCTCCGGCAGCGCAGGTGGTGCTTCCCCCCAGCAGACCAGGGAGACGCGGAGCTAGCGCCCCCCTCCCCCAGCAGACCAGGGAGACGCAGAGCGGATTTTCTCGCTGTGGAGGACGCAGGCGGCGGGACCGCCGCAGCACGTCTCGGCGGGCTGCCGGGGGG